TAAGTACTCTGCAGAGGCCTCCCCTGGAGCCTTTGCAGTCGGTAGAGCTTTGCCCTGTCCTATGTAGACAGCACTCCTGATTGCGTTGGCTCCATCAGGAGAGTAAGGGACCTGCACGCATTCTCTGTTGACGAAGTGTGCCTGGATTTCAGGCCGGCTTACTCTCACGTATTCCTGAGACCCCGGCCTGGATATATGCCCAAGGTTCCTACCACTCCCCTCCGGGACCTGGTGGTGAACCTGCAAGCGCTGCCCCTGGAGGAGGCAGACCCAGCCTTGGCACTGCTCTGTCCGGTACGTGCTCTCCGCACCTATGTCGACAGAACGCAGTGTTTCAGGACCTCAGACCAGCTCTTTGTCTGTCATGGGGGGAGCCAGAAGGGAAGGGCTCTCTCAAAGCAACGGCTGTCCCACTGGATAGTGGACGCCATCGCTTTGTCTTACCAGCAGCTAGGCCGGCCGTGCCCCCTTGGTGTGACGGCCCATTCCACTCGGAGTGTGGCCTCCTCTTGGGCTCTAGCGCACGGCGCCTCGCTAACAGACATCTGCAGAGCTGCAGGCTGGGTGACACCCAACACCTTCGCCAGATTCTATAATCTGCGAATTGAGCCAGTGTCCTCTCACGTACTCGTTTCGGCCAGTTCTGGACCCGCTCAGGTGTCTTCGCTTGCTCGCCACTCCACTCCCCGGACTGGATAAGTGCGATATTTCCTCAGTTCTTCCATTGAAGTCTTGAGTCCTCCAGCACCGACGATGCGGGCACCACTGCTGTTGCTCTGGATGCTGGCTAGGTGCCTCCATGCGTACGGTTCCCCCATGGTAACCGTCTCATGTGTATTATCCACTGTAAATCTCTCTGAGCATGTGTCTTCCCTTGGCAAGACATCTGCCACCCCTGGAGTTGAAATTTTAGCAGCCACCTGCGGTTGGTACTCCAGTGTCTCCATATGCGTTCCTACGTGGCCATATGAGTATTCTTAAGTCCTCCCTTCGGTAGGCATCTGGTAGCATGTCCCTCCTGGGATATGTTTCCAAGTGTACCTTGGTAATCCTGTGTCAAAGTAGGATCCCTGAAAAAAAAAAGAGAGGAGGGGTCCAGACTTTCGCAGGGCACTGGAAGACAGCTTGAAGATGGCGTGATGGCACAGACCCCCAATCTCCGTCACTTCTGACGTAACTCGAAGTGACTACGAAAGGGAACGTCTCGGTTACGTATGTAACCCTCGTTCCCTGAGTAGGGAACGGAGACGTTACGTCAGAAGTGACGGAGATTGGGGGTTTCGCATAGAAAGCCAATCCTCTTCGAGTATTTAAAAACGAGCCAATGGCATGCAATGCATTGCATGCGGAAATTTGCATAGCGTACTCCGCCCTACTCCGTGAGTATAAAAGGAGGAAGTGAACGCAACCGCAGTATGTCTTCGCTGAGGAGCCAAGACTGAACTCGGCGTCTACCCAGCGATACAGCAGAAGTGGCAGGGAGACGTAACGTCTCCGTTCCCTACTCAGGGAACGAGGGTTACATACGTAACCGAGACGTTTTCTAGTCTATTTAAAAGAATTTTGTGGTCAGTTGTGTCAAATGCAGCACTAATATCAAGTAACACTAATAGGGAGATACAACCACGATCGGATGACAGAAGCAAATCATTTGTGACATTTGTGACAATTTGCGACATCATATGTTAGAATCACAAACAAATATCCCATCTGTACAATAATAGCATGACCATGTGACTGCATTAATGTGTTTAGACATCGTCGCTAATACTCACAAAATATGTAGTAGAGACAAACAAAAGCTTTACAGTAATAACAACATGTTTCCTTTACTGATTTCCCAAGAGCATCACAGACTAGACCTGGAGTAAACAATGAGTATGATGAACAGGCAAACCAAATGTTTTTCTCCACACCTTAAACTGTGGTCAGTGGTGACCAAAAATGCTTAACCTTTACAACACGGTGACTGTTTAAACCATTGTCATAGCCCAGATGGCCCTGGGTTGTAATGTTTGAATGGGTCTTTTCTTTCACCAACACTTGCTCTCACAGTCTGTACGATGAGAAAGAAGTGATTTTATCTCAACAGTAAGGTCTTTGCTTTTTGTCCTACTGACAGACGCCGACCACAAACCAGCTTGTGACTCGTTGAAACTCATGGAAAGAGTCAAAAGCGTGGCTTATTTTTCTATATCTTTGTGGAAACTAGTGATTTCATATGACAGTATATCAATAGCTGCGGCTAGGGTCACAGAGGCCAGACAGGTCTCAAGGAATATCCATTTCCACGTTTACTATGTCATTCATTTATATATGGACTACTGAATGACATTTTTGGGTGACGTCATGCCCGCCAGTGGTTATGAGGTTGTCTGGATTATTCATTCCATATTTGCATTTCCTCCTCTGTACTATAGTGAAAGTTCTTTGGTGTGGTCATGCTTTTCATTCTTTTTCGATGTGGTCTGTGCCATGTGGTTCTTTACTTGATTGTTTAAGCTGTAGTGGAGCTTTAGGAAGTACAAACAAATTTACCGCTCACATCGAGAACGCTGCTATAGCTTCCTCCAGGTCTAATCCTCCACATTATAGGTTTTCTTGAGGATAAATCAGCTGTGCAGGAGAATTGGCCTGACAAGGTCTTTTGAGTTTATTCATGGATTTTGATGGAGATCGATTATTTCCATCAATTTTAATATATTTTTATGAGACTTGGAATAAAATCCTGCTGTGTGTACACATCTCATCCTCCTAACAAAACCCACTCTTTTTGCAAAGTTCTTTTTCATTCTTCACTTGGGCGTAAAAATAAGTTTGAATTACCTCAGCAGCTGTATTAATAAATATGCGTTTAATATAATATAATTATGCAGTGAGATGAATATGTTAATGTGTGCTGCTTTCCTCTTAATAAAAAAATAATCCCACCACAAAAATGTGTTTCTTTGTTAAGAAAGTTAAGAAATTACCTGATCATGGAGCTCTGCAATTTGCCACTCCGGTCGAGTTGTCACGTTTATTTATTAAGCACTTTATACAATGGGTTGCTTTAATGCAAGCAGCTTCACAGTATTAAACATGTAAGCGTTCCAGTGTGTTAATGTTTTTATTTGCGTCTGACCTTGACGAATGGAACAGAAGAAATTAACCTAAGAAGTTTTCTACGTCAAAGAAGGTGGAGCCTCAGAACACACCTACCTATAGCGTAAACGCCACCGACCAGTGGTAATTCCATTTTTTGTGTTTACCAGCCAAACCAACTTTTTCTGGAAATGTTGCTTTGGCAAGTGGTTTGAACTCCAAACAAACTGAGATTTGGCCCGATTTTGTTTGAAATGATGTCACACCAAATTTGCTCCTCGATTTTACTTTATGTATGTTGGGGTGCAAGCTTGAGCGCCATCAGGAAATGTTACCTTGACCATATAGAACAGAAAATATGAAAGGCCTGAAAAAATTAAAAGCAGTCTCTTTTATCTATTTAATAAAAGGCAGGTAGCACTCATGTAGCTTGGGCCTGTGGAGTAACTATAAAAACAAGCACAAGTTCAGGAGCAGACGGTTTAAATTAAGCCTTGAGTAAACAAGCTGCTTGGGTCTTTGGTGTGACACTGAATACTAAGCATGTGTGTGTGTGTGTGTGGATGGCCACAGTTGGCCAGCAGGGCGAACACTTGCTTTCTTGGAAATGTTCTGTTTACGCTCACCCTTTCCATTCCTCATTGCATCTGGAGTTCCCCCAGACCACGTCATTTCACATTTCCAAACATCCTCTCTACCTGTGCTGACCCAGGAGGCTGAGCTGCCAGGGTCCTCCGCCTCCCTTTCGCTCTCCTCAGCAGGGGTGGGAGCTGGGTAGCACTCATGGAGTTTAATGAGTCCCCTACTTAGCCAAGCTCTTAAGACTGTAATCCTTCAAGGCGAGCTCTTTTATTGATTCCGAGCTGATTTAAGCATCACCACCAGAACACTGGGCTCATAGAGGACTTTATTTGTTTGTGTTCTGTGTGTTAGGCAAAGAAATCTGTCAACAAACAGAGCAAAAGTTCTCCACATTCAAATTGAATTCCTTGCCAGCAAAGGATTTGAACAAACCCCTGACCCAGTGTGCTGAACCTTAGCTCTTAACTCATCCTGAACATGCTATAGACATCCGTGATTCCTCAAATCATGAGGCTTTTTAAAGGAAGCAGTGCTGTTACTTTTTTTTTTTCCAAAAAAGTAAGTTTTTGGCTTGCTGGATAATTAAAAGGTTGAAAAAAAATCAATTAGATGTACATTTAAAATGTAGATATTTAAAGACTTGGAGTTCTGACATGCAAGTAACTAATTCTAGAATCGGATACTTAAGGTCAGGAATCGCATACTTGTTATAAAATTAAAATTTTGATTTTGCTTATCGATGCCTGTGTGCGCATTTTAATGTGGTTTTACCACCTCTCATATAGTGCACAAATACTGAATTGAGTTCTCTCTCTGAGTCCTCTTGAATACTGTGTCTTCTTGCACTTGAACAGACAAATACAAACAAAATTATGTCAAAATATCCTTGTAAACACAGTCGGTTATGTCTTAAGTGAATGTAAACAGTTGAGAAAGAAAACGGTGTTACAGCATACTGTATTGGATCCGTGCATTAGGTCTTAAAGTGACAGCAGCCTAATAAGCCTGCTGCCATATGTGTTATTACTGCTAAACAAATAACAAAGAACAAAGAAAAACTCAATGCAGTGTTATTTTACAGTTGATTTCAGTTTCTGTGCCGTTCTTATTGTATTTCTGACTGCATAGTTGTCTTTAATAATGTTTGAAATTTATTGTAGTTAGTCTAGTTTATTACTGTAGTTGTTATTTAGGCTGCCATCTAGCTCTTGCCATCTTGTTGTAAAATATTATCTTCACATTGGCTGTTTTTTTTGTTTAGTAAACTCACTCTAATGTAACTAATGGATCTGAAACAGTTGAACTTTGTTATTCTGTCATTTTTTCTTCTACAGAATATTGTATGCACCATGGGACTCAAGTGGTACCCTAACCCAGAGGCCCTCCATTGCATAAAGGGATGCGAGGTAAGACCTGCCTCACATTTTTCCTCACGTTTTTTTTTTTTTTTATTACTACTTAATTTCATTAAGATATTATTTTCAATATTTGTATTTATTTTTTATATGGAAGAAAGAGGCCACACTTTGCATAGACCGTTTATTTTACACAATTGTGTAAAATAACATTGTGTAAAACATTGTGTAAAATAAACTGTCTATGCAAAGTGCGGCCTCTTTCTTCCATATATGTACTCTAATTATTCGGCCAGCACTCCTAAAATAAATTTAAGTGTAACTATTGAGTGAAGCCTGCTCCAACCTCCATTTATTTATTTTTTAATCATTTAATCACTATGTGTATATTTTTTATTATATGTATTTGTTTTTAATGAATTTATTTTAATTATTCAATTACTTGTCTGTTTGCCATAGCTGAACTCTGTTGTAAGTTTGCATGATAATGACATTATGCCCATGTTAGTCATTTCAAGGTAATCTCCCAGCTACAGCTTTAAGCTCTATACAGTCACGGAGGTCTGTTCTCTGGAACCTGGCCTTGAACAGTTGTTTCTGCCATCTTTTCACGCTCTTTGAAGTCTAACACATAAATAAACATGCTGTGCTAGTGTCTTACTCTCCTTTTCTCTTTGGGCCAGTCTAGTCTAATCCGAGTCAGGTTTAAAAGGGCCAACAAAAACAGACAAGAGGGATTTGTTACCACCTTTGTTTTTGAGGGCAAATGTTTTCTTTTTGCAATTTAGAAGAACCTGGAAACCTCATTTAGAGGGTATCATGTTCCCAACTTCCTCAAATCACTGAGTGAAGCCATCTTTCCACTGCACACGACAGTCACATTAGATTGTCGCATTTCGCCCCCTTAGTGTCAGTTGCAAGGATCTTTGAAATTGGTTGTGAAGCAACCGTTATCCTCTGCTATACACAATGGTAAAATAAATGATTTTAATGAAAGTAATGTATGCATGAATATATCCAGCCAAAACAAATGACCCTAAATACATCTAAAAACAAACATCGTAGGTTTTATAGAGCTAACCAATATAAATATTTAATAATAATTAAATATTTTTCCTGCCACAATTATTAATACAGAAATAGCGTTTACAGAATAACATTAAAGAGTTGCATACAGTCTATTCGCAGAAGTTCAGAAATGTCTTCATACGCATATGATCAGAACTCCCCGCAGCTCCCATACGACTCCCCATTGGAAAAGAAATGACTTCCGGTCCGCCAGCTGTCATTTGTGGTATGCAGTGAAAAGGCGATTATAAAAAAAATATTTTTTCTTGCTGAAAGAGCTATTGAAGAATTATTTGCCAAAAAATTATATAAAAAAATTATTTGAACCAAAATTTCTACTTATTTGTTTGACTTTACTTGCCGAAGACTGCACTGCTACTCTGTAAGTGTTCTCGTGTGATTAATCTGCACCTCACTCTCATTTATAACAAGTCTTGCTCTAATGTCGCAGTGATATGACCAGTCCATTTTTTTATTCGGGTCAGAGCTGCAGACTTTTGAACCCAACTCATCCTGACCCATTTTCAATGGGTGTTAATTAGCAGCCCCCTGAAAGCTTTTGGGTTGGGCCAGAGAGATGATTCCAAACTGGAAAAGGTCACAGGTGTGTTGGGCAACCTTTTGTGCCTGTCAAGATGGAAATGTGTAATAACTCCCAAGGGAGACACATATAAGTTTAATAGGGCTTCAGTTTCCCCATTAAAAGTGGCCTCCACTATCCAAAAGCCCGGGAATACTAACTCAATTTTTCCAGGGCAACATAATTGCAACAGACTCAAGTCTGTGTGTCTATTTTTACGCAGTTGTGGATGTATGCAAGTATGAATGACTGTCTTTTTCTTTCTTTCTTTTTCTTTCTTTCTTTCTTTCAAGTTAATTTTATTGATGGGGAGGTGGAACAGATTATTATTTGACGACCAAATGAAGAGTTTGTTTATATAACATTATGTTCATCACTGATGTTAATGGTGTTTATATATTTAGTTAATTCATGTTATTAAGCAGATTTTATCTGTTTTCCACCAGCCGTTCATTGGTGATAATTACTGCGATGCCATCAACAACCGAGCATTTTGCAACTACGATGGTGGAGACTGCTGTCATTCTACTGTTAAAACCAAAAAGGTATGTTTTTTTATTATTATTATTATTATTATTAGACATTTAATTTAAGGTTAAATACCTTGTTTGCACTTTAAGAACTAGTACATAAGTAAAAACTTGTAAAGTATGTAATCTGCATTGTTACTACATAGTCAGACAGAGCCAATATGGCTTGCGTTGAAATAATTATCTCCTTGGAGGGAAGATTTTTAAGGACACCCACACGAGTGAGGGAAACTCTGTGAACCCTATCCACAATGCATTGTAGACACATGAAGCACGCACATATATGTTTGGGTGTTTTTTTCCAAAGCCATGGTAACAAACGGTTGCATATAGCATTTCCATATATGGACCACCTCACTTTCCAACAAAGACAAAGATTCGTGAGTTTATTCTCGAGGGTGGTAAATAGCCCTAGAAAGGCCTTTTCTGCATGCTTGTGAACTGTTCTTTTCCAATGAACTTGTCATCCTCTTTCACTTGATCCTCCCTTGCTTTTTCCTTGAGCAAGTTTTCCTGGCTGCCAGAGAAAGTGAACTTCTCTTTTGACAGACAAAGAATGAAGTAACTTCTCCAAAGTTACAACAGCGAACTCTGGATCGCTATACCCATGCACAGTGCCAAAAAAAAAAAAAATGTTGGCAAGCGTGATGACGCATTTCCCGGCAGAATACACTACTTGTTGTGAAAGGTCTAGAAACGTCAGTTGGAACTGGACTTTTCACATTTAAATACAGCTGTAAATCATATATAAACATATAAATTCAGGGGGCTGTTTGCTTTGTCATGCCAGAGGATTACCCAAGCAAATAATAAAACAAACTGCTCATCCTCCTCTTGGAGACTGAGCTGCTGACCAATACATTGTCAATCCTGAATTGTGTTAATAAGGGGCTGTAAAAAAGGAGTTTCAGCTTTTTTGTAAGTTGAGAACAAAATACACTTTTACAATATTCTTGTATGAATTCTGAAAGGTAGCTGCCAAAAGAAAATAACTGACTAAATTGCTCCTCCATAGTGTAAGTGCTTCTACCCTGTGTAATTTTGTATTTAAAGAGCCAATAAATGCATAATTTTCATCTTTGTCATGTTATTTTAAAGGGATTTAGGAGATAATAATGTAAATTCTTTCATTATCTAATGGCTATCACATCCATCCAGATGACCCCCACACTAAGCTCCACCTCTCTAGGCTACTGTCACTAACTCAATAAGAGATGCCCAGTACAATTTGCTTTTAGGAAGAGTGTATTTGTTATTGTGTCGAATTTGTTTTTTTTTTTTGTTAAATTTACCTATTCCATCTAAGATAAAATCAGGCTTTTTTGGTGCTCTCTTTCTAAAATTAAATGAAATGTTACAAGTTTACTTAGACTAGAAGGAACTGATTTGAGCACTGCATTATATTATTTAAAGTGAAACGGGAAATTATGAACAAACATACATCTGTAAGACAAACATAAGACAACATTTTACCTGATTTATCAAAAAGTTTTAAGAATTCCTTTTATATTCCTGTTAAACCATGTAGAGAGGAAAATATATTCATTCGTAATCATTATATCTGATTTGGTTTCCATAGAAAGGTTTTATGTGGTGAAATAGTATGTAACATACAGTAACTTGACAGAGGCTGATGACATTTAGGCAATGTATTAGGCAAGTAATTGACCTATGGCTAAGCCACGCCCTCAAACGCGATGAGCCAATCACAGTGCGCAGCTAACCCAACTCGGACATTCTCTGCTTCTACTTCCATTGAAATGCATTGGAGTTAGTCAGTTTTCATTCGTTTGATTTCATTCGTTTGACTGCGATTCCACTTTTTTCCATTTTAAATAGTGTGTAATGTTGTCTTTGGCTCACCGCAACATACAGAACAAAACAGATAAAAACATACAAATAATGTCTCAGGCATAATAAAGAAACATTTCTAGATTAACAAAAAAAAATGTGTATATATATATATATATATATACAAAGTATGTGTATATATATATATATATATATATATATATATATATATATATATTAATAATAATAATAATAATAATAAAAAACTTGTTAAGAATATGTATACTTATACATTTAAATAGCAGCTCATTTGTTACTGTTGTTTTGTTTTGTTAAAGGACAACTCCGGCGCAAAATGAACCTTTGGTCTAATTACACATTGTTACCTAGTCAACCGTTATCTGAGATTTTTTTTTTCATGATTGCCGAATGTAAATAGTTTTATCTATAAAAACAGTTTAGCCTATAATGCTAGTATAACGCTAGTCTATAGGGCATAGAGTAATGACAAATAAAAATCGCTTTTTATTACCACTAACAAGGCTCAAAATAGCCCCACAGTAACACGGTAGCACAATAAGGATCCATACATTCAAACCGAAGCATTGAGAACTTTGTCAGTGTCCACACCGTTTAATAAGAAGATATTTTATACACACAGTCAACTTTGCGAATACAGGAAGAAGCCATCTTTGAAAAATAGTCTCTACCAGTCGATCTAAGTGCGCTGGTGAGATGTGAATAAAGTGATAATGTGAGCGCGAACAGTAGGCAACATGTACATATTAAAGAGAAGAAAATGGTTCGTGTTTGTGTTTCTTCCGGAAACAATGGACCATATAAGATTCTGCACAGTTCAGCCCACTTGGATCAGCGTTCGTAGATCGACTGGTAGAGACTATATTTTAAAGATGGCTTCTTCCTGTATTCGTGAAGTTGACTGTGTGTATAAAATATTTTCTTATTAAACTGTATGGACACTGACAAAGTTCTCAATGCTTCGTTTTGCATGTAGGGATCCTTATTGTGCTACCGTGTTACTGTGGGGCTATTTTTGTTATTCTTGTTAGTGGTAATAAAAAGCGATTTTTATTTGTCATTACTCTATGCCCTATAGACTAGCGTTATACTAGCATTATAGGCTAAACTGTTTTAATAGATAAAACTATTTAGATTCGGCAACCATGAAAAAAAATCTCAGATAACGGTTGAATAGGTAACAATGTGCAATTAGACCAAAGGTTCATTTTGCGCCGGAGTTGTCCTTTAAGGATACTAATGGCATTTGGAATAAAAGATCTTTTAAAGGAACTTTTAGCCAGAGGCACTCTAAAGCACCTCCCAGACTTCATTAGTTCAAACTCGCTGGAAAGGGGGTGAGTACTATCTGCAGTGATTTTTCTAGCCTTATTCCTCGTTCTGTCAATATATATTTGGGACAGCGGTTTTTGTGGTTTGCCTACAATTTTGCTGGCCATTGACACTATCCTGTTGAGCTTTTTCTTTAGCTTGCTGTTTAAGTGGTCAAACCAAGCAGAAAGGTGAAAAGTTAAAACACTTTCAATATGTGTAATATACACTAGCTCAGTAATCTGAGCACTGACACCCAAGCAGTTCAGTCTTCTAAGAAGACTGAGTCGTTGTGAGCATTTCTTGAAGATAAATTCTGTATTATCTGTAAAACTCAGGTGGTTATCAAGAACCGTACCTAAATATTTAAAAGTTTCAACAATTTCAACTACTTGACCATTTAGTAAAATTGGCTCTGTTATTATGTCTTGTTTTTTGCCAAAAATTAGCTCATTTGTCTTTGCTACATTAATTTCTAGCTCGCTTTCTTTGGACCATGCTTCAAGAGCCTTTACATGTGCAAGATAAGAGGCTTCATCCGAGGAATTCGTTTTTTGGAAAAGTCCTACTAAGGCCATATCATCTGCATATTTGATCAATTTAAAGGTGCTAGTGTTTATATTAAAATCATTTGTAAATAAGGAGAAAAGCATAGGTGAAAGAACGCTGCCTTGTGGGCATCCTGTACTAATAGTACGCACTCCAGACAAAAAGCAGTTTACACTTACCCTCTGAGGGCGACGAGAGAGAAAGTCTCTGATCCAGAGAATCAGGCTGTTATCTACAGTATATTAATATTAACTAGTCTTTGCAGGAGAATATGTAGCTTCATAGAATTAAATGCTGCACTAAAATCTATAAATAAAACTCTAGCATGCCCTTTTGGGAGTGCAAGCTGTTTTGAAATAGAGTCTAAAAGGACCAGCACAGCATCATCTGTCCCTCTATTACTTCTATAAGCGAACTGCAGCGGATCTATCACGCTGGTTACTTGGGAGGTCAAGAGATCTACCAGAACCCTCTCCATTGTTTTACATAATATGGAGGTGATGGCTATAGGTCGAAAATCTTCAGGCTTACTTGCACCAGGCTTTTTAGGTATTAAAGAATATTTCCAAGATGTGGGTACACCTGTAACTAGAAGAAAGTTAAAAAGCCTTAAAAAAACACCTTTTAATTGGGGAGCACAATCTTTCAATAAGCGGGCTTTTAGGCCATCTGGGCCGGTGGCCGTACTCGGCTTTAGTTTAGTGAGGCTTTTTGCAACAGCATCTTCTGTGATAAGTATTGGTTAGCCTATAGAAAGATGTTTACAGATGTCATCACACTCACTCTTATCATCAACAACATCAAACCTGCAGAAGAATGTGTTCATTTCATCTACAAGACTTTGACTGTAGACTACAGGACTGTTGCTTTTGTTGCAATTTTTTCCCATTAAAGTATTTAAGCCCTGCCAAGCCTGTTTTATATTCCCGCTAAAAAATTTACTCTCTATTGTGTTTTTATATTCGATTTTTGCCTTTAGGATCATGAACAGTATCTGCAAAGTTGCAGCGCTGAAAGTTTAGTGTAACCAGAGATATCGTCTTTTAAAAATCAGGAAGTATATTGCCTACAAAAACGACTTGATAGGGACTATAGCTGGGTTTTAGACATCACTAACCCACACATTTACATCAACCCTCCCTCCGAAAAATGCAAAAAAGGGCATGCGCATATTTCAAAAGCTCCAGCTCGTCGAGTGTGTTGTGTTCACGCAGCTGTCAGGTCTTCTGTGTTCGAGCTTCCCACGGACGCTGTACTTCGTCAACAATGGATACAATTTATGTTTGATTATGTTCCTGAAAATGACGATCGTAATTTAGCTCTCT